GTGTTACTGAGACGTGCGTCCACACAGCCGGTGTTACTGAGACGTGCAGGCCGGCCTCAAAGTTTCTGCTTTGCAGAGTATTAATGATTTACAGCGTCACACAGGTTTAGCATCTATAACTGGGTCTGTTCTGAAATGTAATTAATAAAAATAGTTACATTTGGAGTGTTTAGCCTTTAATTTGTTATGGTAAGATTCTTATGAGTGTAAATAATTTTGTAGCTGAAGGAATATTCAAATACTGTAATTCATGAACATTCATCTCATGTTTCTCTAGCAAAGGTTTAATAAAGATGATACCCCTGTGCTCAAGTCTGCTGCAGGAAAGAACAATGAGACATTTAGACAATCACAGGACTCAAAATAAAAAAAAAAGTAATTTTCTAGATCCATACAGAAAAAAAGGGTGGTGGCACAGAGGTTGGAGAAGGTGAGCCTGTGATCAGAGGATCGCCAGTTCAACTCCAGGTACTGACAACATCAAAATGTGGGTGATAAAGGTGAAGCACCCACACCTGCATCCACTCTCATTTGCCCCACCTGGGCCCTTGAGCAAGGCCCTTAACCCCCACCATCTGCTCTCCTAGGTACCCTAGATGGCAGCTCTCTGCTCCACACAGAGGGCTGTGGTAGCTCGGTGGTCCGTGGTTGCGTCAGGAAGGGCATCCGGCCTAAAAATAAATGCCAAGTCTTTGTGCGACGTAGCTGTGGCGACCCCTGAAGAAGGGAGCAGCTGAAAGAAAATAAAAAAAAGCATACAGAAAAAAGGACACACTGTTTTGACTTATGCCAGGATATTGTAAAATCTAGTAAAATAAGTAACTGTGAGGGATGAATAAAACACTAAACTGCAGGCTGAAGTCATAAAAAGAATCCATAAACTTTAGAACAGATGGATGATTCGTGGCTTTTTAAATTCAACACCAAGAACTACACTGTATACTTACCAAGCCAACAATTTTCAGTCAGGTCATCTGGACAGTTTCTTTTTTTTTTTTTTTTCTGAAACATTTCACCTTCCATCCAGAAGGCTTCATCAGTCAAGGAAACACACAGCACAAAACTGATTCTTCCCCCAAACAGCTTACGCCAAAGTGGAACAAACCAGTTATGTTGATGCTAAGATGGTGTCTTTGACTGTAATTTCACCTTCAAATTAATTGCAAATCCTAGAGGTTCACATACTTTTGCACTCACAAATATATAATATTGGATCATTTTCCTCAATAGATAAGACTGTAGGGGAATAGGCTGGTCAGGGCAGCTTTTAACAGGTGTTTAGGTTAACCGTTCAGTTACATAATAAATGTAGACCGGCCTCAACCCTACAAATTATATAAGTGTGTTCTTGTAACAAATTGAATCCTCCTGTCTTGAAGAAAAGACAAAGAATCAGATAATTAAAATACACAATTATGTAACATTTATTGTCCGTTTGAATAATAACAATATGAAATCATGGCAAATATGAAATATAAATGAATAACCAATAGTATATTTCATAAAGTGAATGACGTAAATAATAGAGACTTTGAGAAGGGCTATAGATTCAATGTGGACTAAGGCATTTAGCTCCAATGTTAAAATTTAGGTAAGTTATATCTCAGATTTGTGAACTAAATTATGTCTAAACTCAGTTGGCACTTAGTTGTTTCTCATGAGAAGGAAGATGTTTCCTCCTACCGAGAGGCGTCCATCTCTCTCTGTCATTACCACGGTGGATGCAGGGATAGCAGGTGGCCTGCTGTCCCAAGAAAGGATGTATTTTCTCAGGACTGCAATTTGTTCAGCAAGCACCATTGCTCATGGGTGTTGAAAATGAAGCTCAACCCGTGGGTGTGAACAAAGCTGCCTAAATTTATTTAATTATACTCTCCCCTCAAAGTCTCAGAAGGTAACACAATGGCCTTTGTTAAAGAGGGTGACACCTTGTTTTTACATAAACACAATTTCTTTCAGCAAAATGCAAGTTTGATTCTGACATGAGTGTTACAAAGGCATTTGTTGAAGCTCTGTCCATTTTGGGGGTTAACTTCCTTCGTTACTATGGCAACCACCAGTTCTATAGTAAGGTAAAGTCCACGTCTTTCTTAGAGATTTCTGTCAAGAGACTGTTTGTCTCTCAGAAAAGAGGGTTAATTAACACAAAGGGTGGTTTATTATCATACAGTATGGAACCAGGGGTGTACTGAGTTGAATTGTAGATTTGCACACAGAAAAGGGTAAAAAGAAAATGTTCCTGTGTCAGAACAGAATGTCAGGATCTGTCTCAAACTAACAGAAAGGGAGGGGACAGGAGAGACGAGGTGTAAAGACGGTTTGTCTTTTGCTGGACTTTGGATGGATGCTACATGACCAAGTGTATTTTTTGTCTAATTTTTAAAACTGGGCTCTCTTCATCTACTTTAGGACTTGTGTGAAAATATGATGATGTCTTAGGTCATATTTTTGCAGAAATATAGACAATTCTAAAGGTTCACAAACTTTCAAGCACCAAAAAGTTCACAGACAGCCCAGCCTACTTACATTAATGTAACTCAGCTGCAGAAATATTGTGCATGAATCACAAACATTTGGACATAAAACTGCTACATGTAGGTTTTAGGATGTAAACACAACTCAAGTTAATGTTGTTTTTGGTCAAAGTTACAGAAAGCTGCTGGTGGGGGGGGGGGGGGGTGTGCATGCAGAGAGCCCTATGTGGCTCTAGAGCCAGAGGCTGTAGACCCCCAGACTATCAGAATAAGAATAGCTGATTTTTTAAACCAAATGACAAAATATAAAACAAACTAAAACAATAATACTAAGAAAAGCACTTGTCACCTAATCAGCTTTGCAAAGCTGCCCACTCCTCCTCCACACATGTGCATCATATCCTCCTCTTCCTCCCACAGACTCTTTCTGCCATCTCTGAGCTGTGGTTCTGCTGGAATCACATTAGTACTGAAGAGACTTCCAGTTTACTGTATGTCAGAGTAACAGCATCTGCCATCCTTGGCTCAGCAGCCTGTAGTGGGTCGACAGGAAGAAGTCTCATCTCCTTTTTAAAGCACCTCACTCATATATTTGTCCTCAGGGTCACAGTGGCTCACACAGAGAAACTAAAGCCACGTCCTCTCAGAGACAGTAAATGGAGACGGATGGGAAAGTTAAACAGGCGGAACGTTCACAGTAAACGTAATGAGGAAAGCTGATTGTTTTTCTGCTCTGCTTTCATTTTTCTGCCTCCTTGCTGTCACGTTTCATTTTTTCTGCTTCGTCTCTCTTGCCTGAACGAGTCTGTTTGTGTTTCCTTCCTTTGCTCTCGTCTCCTCTGAACACGCTCTGTTCTCACTGCGTCTCCTCCTCTTCCTGTTTGCAGAACGCCTACGACATGGCAGAGCTGCAGAAGTCCCTCCAGCCGAGCCCGGCCCAGTCGGTCCAGTACTGCCGCTCCAGAGCCCTGCACCACCCACCACCTTCCCACCACCACCACCTCCACCATGGGTCCCTGGCCCCACCCTCTGCTCAGACTCTGGACCCGCTCAGTCGTACATCCAGCTCAACGACGCTGCCCCCCTCTGCCGCCTCCACGTCTTCCACCACAACGACCAGTCTCCGCAGGGACGTGCCCCCCACCAGGCCTCCAGCCCAAGGCCAGGCGCGCCCCCCTCAGCTAGCACGGCGCTCCCTGTCATTTTCCAGCCAGGATCTGGCTCGCTACCTGTGTGAGATCATCCGGGATGCTGACCAGCACCCAGATTCTGGGCCTTTTGACTCGCTGCAGGTGTTCTCCACCGAGGGAGGGGGCTCACCTGCTGGCTCCCTCAGCTCCTTCAGCTCGGCAGGACTGGATGGAGGGAGCTCAGGGGACGGGGGAGGGGAGGCGAGGAGAGAGGAGACACTTGGAGAGTGGGGGCCTCGCTTTGAGAAGCTGCGGGCGCTGTATGAGCGAGCCGAGACCAGCGACCTCTGAGCTCCAGCACTCGCTCTGACGGGGGCCCAATAACGCCGCGCCTGAAAAATTAATTACCAGACGCTTGGTGACGAGCGAGGCGAGAAAACGTTGAGAGACTGACAAAGAGACTCGCTCCCGTCAGTCTAACAGACAATTGGGAGGATCTGATCCAGGAGCTGATGTTATCTCCACCATTATCTCCGTCAGTCCCTCAGAACAATGAAGCTGACCCTCACCGCCAGAACCACTCACTGAAATGTGAAACGAGTTGTTTTATTTAAACCTGGGCAAACGAGCGCCAGAAAAAATGTATTTTTTATCATCTTGCTGCTGAATGAATCTTCTGTAAATAAGGGACGAGTGATGCACACGGTGCTGTCACATGATCAGACTGGGACTGTGTACTCCAGTTTACTCCAGTGGACACGTTGTATTCTTGCTGCTTGGCTGTACACAGCTTCTGTCAATGTTTGTATGAGACACACAACAACAACAAAAAAGCTTAGACTATCGCTGGGTGCCAGGGTGAGACCCCCCCCCCCCCCACCCCGTCTTCTGCTGGTTGAGTAATTCTGTACTGGTTGGCTGTTTCAAGTTCCAAAGCTCTGTGGGTTGTAAGACATCAAGCTTCCTCTACTTAGTACTGCTCTCGCGTCTTTATTTGATTTCCTATTCTCATTCGCGCTCCGCCGCCGATCATTCCTGCTCACCCAAGGGGGGCTGCAGGGGCCGCACAAAAATTCAAACAGATTCGTAACAAAGAAGTGCAAGTGGACGTGCAGACTGCAGGGGGGAGGAAATGCTTGCTCTGTTGCTCAGTTTGGTGTGCGCGCCTCCTCAGGCATACCAAACGTGGCGGCAGAGAGACTGTTTTAACAGACGATTGCTCGGCAGAATACAAACGATGTCAAGGCGGATTTCCAAGGTGACTGCTCGACAAACAAATAAATGCAGCAGGAGATCCACACGGATTATACGTGTTGCACGTGTGAGAGCCAGGTGCAGTTCACACTCACTGAACTTATAATTGTGTTAAAGTCATACTGTGAATCGTCAGCGCTCAGGCAGTTCCCACCTTCATATCACAAGGGCTGATGGTTCCCCCCCCCCCACCCCACCCCACCATAAATCTTCACAATCCCCTTCCTGCAGCTTTTGACCTGGTGAGAACAATTTATCTAAAAGGAACAGGAAAAAAGGAGCAGCTCCTCTCACCTGTGATAAGACTGATGATTACACGCTGGAGGGTTGAACCAGAGAGCAAATCATGAAGGGAGGCAGAGTTCCTGGCTCCACGGTGACGGGGAAGAAGCGTGGAAGGGGTCGTTAGCAAACTGCTACGCTTTCATTGTGGATTTTCCTTTTTCTTTTGTTTGCGCCTTCATCTCAGCAGAGCAGTGAGGGGTCAAAGGTTAGGCACATGTGAACACGTCAGGTCACTAATCTTAATGGGGGCTGATGGCCTGCTGTCACGCTGGACAAACCAAAGCACTGAGAGGGGTCAAATCCCAGATTACAGCTTTCTAGAAACATTATTTTCAGCTGACGCAACAGTGCCTCCATCACACACACACACATACACACACACACATGGAGGCAGCATATAAACTGATGCCCAAAAGAGCTTCTTAGTTTACCATTAGACCGCGGGGATTTGAAGACACTCGGAGTTCATTTCTCTTTCCGAGCGAGGCTGAGCACGAGCCACAGAGGTGAAACATGAAGACGCCTCATTCTTCACTGCTCCCACAGCAGCTGGTTTACTTCCCAACGTCCATTTGTACCATAAAGCAGACTAAGTGTTGTGTTCTGGGTGCAGACTTGTTGTGAACAAAGTTAATGTTTTTACCTCGTTTGTAAATACAGAGATTAAATATGCGTGTTGCTTTTTGACAAGAAAAGCAGCATGGGCTTGAAATGTGCAGCAGAAAAGGAACAAAAAGAATCTAACAGAACATATTTTCTATCAACATGATGGTGATGAGCTTTTAACTATTATATAAGTGTTTTGTATTTGCTTTGATCTCTTTTTCTCAATAAATCCATGTATTTGCACCAAAGTCTTAGAGATGAATCATGTTGGCATCTGGAGAACTTGAGGGTTCCTGCACACAACATCTGGATGTGACATTTTCAGCATTTAGAGGCTTCAAATATAAACTTCAACTTTACTTTAAAACCATTTCCCTGTTTTCCAGGTTACCATAGGAACAAGCAGGCGAGGGCATTTCTCTGCAGCCTCATAGCGAGCTGATCAGATGTTGGGGGTTAAAAAGTGCCGTTCAGTGTCCTGACCGAGCGTCTGCATGAGACAGACTGGATGGTCGACACACGACGGCTCACTGTGAAGCTCAAACAGGCAACAGGAGGGGAAGTGTAGAAACACGTTTCTGACTGGTAGAGGCATCACATAATCATGGACAAGGAAACAGCACTGCTGAGGGGAAAAGTACTTTTATTGACTGTAAAGTTTCATATTAAATCCAAACATACTGACACGTTCTCCACTGATGATGTGCTTGGCATGAGAACTCAGCGTAAACATAAACTCTGAGTTTAGTAGATGAATAGAGGCCAAAGAAATGGGACATCCCTTTGATAGCAAAACAAACGATCACGTTCAGGGTGACGAGATCTGCAGTCATCGCTTCTACAGACATCCATATCAGGATTTAATTTTTTTTACTGATTCAAGCTATCCAGACTATGTTGAAAGTCAGTTGCTGCTTCCACAGCTCATTGTCAATGAGGCTGGTTGTCGAAACAATCCATTATACTGGGCTCATGCACCACCTGCTTGATGAAGCTTAACGTGTCAAAACCAACATTTAATCAAGGTGATAAAGTGGATCAAGATTTACATGGGGGTTTTGTCTTTTATGTGTCTTCCAGTGCATTTCAACAGCAACAAAAAATGTTCTGGCCGTTTTCTATTGGGCAGTGAAAGGAGAAAATGTTTTATATTTTCTGTTGTAAAATATTTAACTGTGGACACTGGAAATACTGCCCTTTCTTTACAGCACAGTCCCATGATCATGTTAATCGCAGATAATGTGGAAACACTGCAGATCAAAAGATTAAAAAAGATACCAACACAAGTAGACAGATCAGGACATTTCTAATTTGTTATTCTCCTGCACCTTTTCCTGTTCCACAACTTGATCAATGAGATGCACTGAGCAAAAATAATTTTGTGGTACAAATACAACATGGCTTTCTTTAAATACACACATTACAAGTAGAAAGGTGATGTGTCTCGTTTTCTCTCCTCAGGGTCAGGAGACAATTCATTCAACCTTTATTTATGCAGGTTAATCCCATTGAGCCTCATTTACAAGAGAGACCTGATTTCTTTACGTTACAGTGACTTTACTTTCAAAATATGTCCGGCTGAGAGCATCGCTGCAACTTGTGACTACAAATGTCTTAAAATCAAATCAAAGTCAGATAGTTCTGAAGTGGATTCCGTTGGTTATAATTTGTAATTTACCTGATGTAGATTACTGTGAACGGTAGTCCCTCGTTTATTGCAGGGATCGTGCGGCTAGTCCATCAATCAGCCAATTGCGCTTCAAGTCCAATCTTATTTTGAAAAACCGCAAGAGTGAGTCCGTGAAAAACGAACCAGTAGCGAGGGACTGCTGCACAGCCTCAGCTTGGAGAAACAGCAGGACTAACAAGCTAATGGCTAGTTCAAATGAAGCCACGACTGAAACGTTATGCTACCATCTTATTATAATTTGTATATAAAAAAAAAAAAATCATAGGTGTTCAAAGGAACACTTTCATTTACAATTACACCACTATAAAGTCCACAGTTTTTTTTTTTTTTTTTAAACATGTTTGTTAGCAGTAGCAGCAGCAAGTTGTAGCACCTTCAAAATATTTTTTGCCAAAATAACTTATGCCAAGTTGGTGGCCATAAAGGTATTAATATGAATGTTTCCATGAAGCATTAAGACATTTTTTTTTAAATACTACAAAGTCCATGCTCAATAATCCAGGTATACAATCTAACATTTTTCAGTCAGGTCATCTGGACAGTTTTTTTTTTTTTGTGCTGAAACATTTCGCTTTCAATCTGGAAGGCTTCATCAGTCAAGGAAACACACAACAAAACTGATTCTTCCTCCAACAGCTTACTCCAAAGTGGAACAAAGCAGTTCTGCTTGTGATAAGATGGCCTCTTTGGTACGCCCCTCCTCCATTGCCGGCCCTCTGATGAAGCCTTCCGGATCGAAGGCGAAACGTTTCAGCACAAAAAAAGAAACTGTCCAGATGACCTGACTGAAAAATGTTGGGATTTTTAAATACTGTTTTTAATGTGAGTTGACTCAGACTTAAGTGATGATTGTTTAGCTTATCTGTATAGACACACTCGTACAGTGGGTTTTGTCCTAAAACAACAAGTCTTTAGAATTAGAGGTTTGTGCAAACATGACTTAAACCTTTGCACAGCCATATAATTTGCAATGTCCTAATACATTTGCAGAAATATTATTCATTTGAAAAAAGAAAATTCTCAAGTGTTTCTATTATTTGCTATCCAAAGATGTTTATGGTCATCACTGAGCAGTAAAGTGTAGGGAAACCTGCAGTGACTTGAGCCACTGTGTAAGGAGTGGAGCCTGTGTGGACACATTGAATGGTGTTAGTTAAAGACAACCACAGGCAGACAGCATGCCTCTGAGTGAACCACTAATCTCAATATGTATGGAAATTACCAGCGCTGAAAATATATCACATTACTACACTCCTATTAAGCAAACATAATGAAATCACTTTTCCCTCAAATAAAGCGATCCAACGTCTCCTTAATTAAACATCCAATCTGTAGGCAGGACATGGGGAAGGACCGGTGCTGATCCGATTGGTATGCATTCCAACTAGGACACAGAGTTGACGAACAACGTGTTTTGAAAAGGCCTGAAACGACTGAGGAAGAACGTGTCAATTATCAGAGACAGAGGTCCTTACGAACGTGTGCAGAAACACGGATGCTGCAGGGTCTGGACAACGTGTCCTTCACACAGAACAGTCTGACTGCTGGCACCACCTCGACCCGTTCAATCACCTCCTTCAGCTGCAAAGAAGAGTTTCAGATCATCTTTGTTCTGATGAGCTCTCATTCCTCTGCCTCTGTTTAACATGAGTCTTCTTCGATGCAAGCTTCATCCTCATCCTTTCCAAACCTTAAAGCTTCTGTTTGATATGAGAGCGTTGTCCGACTCCCCCACCCTGACACACATGCAAACACTCCCCCTTCTCTCCATCCCCGAATCACTTTGCAGCGAGGAATCAGTGCGGTCGTCAGCCTTTTGCAGTTTCCTCCTCACTTACATTATTCACGCATGTTTGTATGCGAGAGCGAGGAGAGTGAAAAGGTTGGGACTGCCACTGATGAGTCACGAAGCCGACAGAAAGAAAACAACAGAAATCACAAGAAGTGTCACAGATATCACGAGGAACGAGCTCTGACCTCAGATAGACAAGAACATTTATCCTCTTTCTTTGTAAGGATAACATTTAGGTGGGCGACAAACACACCACCGTGTGAGACCAGTCTGAAATTACTCCGAAGAGATGAGCACCTCTCACACATCATACGGACAAAGAGTTTTCAGAAAGCAGAAAAGTACTACGAGGGGGATGCTGCTACACTCTTAGTACTCACAAAACATGTGCACCCCGTTGTGCTCGGTTCAGCACTATTTCCTGTGCTAGGTTGTTTCTATGACGGTGTCACGATCACTGATGTAGCCTAAACATGAGGTCTGGAAGGATTGCTGGTGCACGCTAAAGTCAGTTTCTTTAGTTATGACTGCAGCTACCATCACTTATTATATTATTATAATATCTGACCTTTAAGTTGGGACTACTCAGGAATCGTGGACTTTTTAAACTAGATTTTTTTAGGGATTGTTCTGGATTATTTTCTGCCTTGGAACACTGACTGCAGCCGTTGCACTTTTCTGTCACTGCAAACATTTCACTGAGATTGTTCATGTTTTTGTTAGTTTCATGTCGTATATCGTATAAACCCAGTTTTACAATATCAATCTTCAACTAGTTTAAAAAAAAAGTTATTGGATAGAAATGTCTCCATTTGCTACTTTTAATATGATTTATAAAAGCTGGATGTTGGAAACGCAGTGTAAGTGAAGAACAGGTCAAACATCTGAGACGAGCAGCAAGTCTGTACTTTTGGCTGCCATCCAGAAGGTCAACAACTAAAAGACAGCTAGTCTGTAATGATTTAAAGGTGTGCACGCACGCACACACATCTGTCTTGCTATCATCAACGTCCATTCATTTCTATAAACTAACCTCTAACCAATCAACAAGACTTATACTTATGGGGACCAGGTCCCCCCCCCCACACACACACACACAAGGAGCAGTTGGTCCTCACAATGTAACATTATACCGAACACCCCCCACCCCCCACACACACACCTAAGATCTCATTCCTCTTAAGTTAGATCCACACAATTTTTTTAAATATATTGTAGACTTTTTAAAGTAAACTGTGTATTTTGTTGTCCATTTCTAATGTACCTACATTTACTTGGCCTATTACTGATATACTAGTCAGTACAACCTGTACTTTTATTTAAACTCTATTAACACAGTTTATAGCTATAAAGAAATGAGTGTGGAGAGTTTGACCTTTCAGAAGTTTATCTGTAATGTATGTATCATAACACAAATGTTGGATTGGCTTGAACTTTTCTCTCTCTTTTTTTTTTTTGGCAAAGAGGAGCTCAGCAGCAAACAGCTGCTTCAACCCTCCACAAACTAAAACATGACAACCCCTCTGGCTCCCTGCCCCCACATAAAGGCTTCTCGGAGCCACTTAAAAGAATCGTACAACTACAACAGCCACAATCACAGCTGGACGCAGCGCAAAGCAGAGACCGAGGACTTAGTGCCACGGTCTCTGCTCTCTGTCTTCCCTCTGGTCTCTGCTGGACTCCTTCAGGCTCTGGTCCTTCTACTGTGTCGCACCAGGTTCTGACGACATCTTGGCACTTTTCTTGCGTTTCTTCTTGAGCCGGTACACATAGAAGGTTTTGTTCTGGAACGTTCTGGTGAACAGCGTGGTATAAGCTGCCGCGTCTGTCTTGATGGCCTCACAAAACCGAGGGTGGGGGGCAGGCACGAGATCTGGGTCGTTCTCCCCAGGTCCATCCATGATCTGACGAGAGAGAAAACAGCAAGCAGAGGAGAGATGAACCAACTGATGTTTTAACTGAAGTGTCATCAGTGTATTGAAGTTTCTCTCTGCATCGCTGCTGGACGGCCTTGAGAAGGACACACTCTCACAGACTTCGAGTCTTGGTAAATAGATTGATCCAAGATTAACGATTGCTGCATTGATAAACCATCTGCCACAGAGAACCTGACCTGCGCTGGGAGATACCGAGCTGAAGGACAGCTCCTCTGTGAGCAAAGGAAGAAACTCCAGGAAACTGGGTTCCTGCACATTTTCCAAATTTGAATTTTCGTACCTGTCCAAACTCAAATTATTTTTATTGATGTATTTTTAGCCACTTTTACATTTAAAACATCTATTTATCGTAAATGTTTATACAGTGCTAGGATTTTCTTATATTTGAGCTTCAAACATGATGAGAAACAGCAAACTGTCCACATGAGCTGGGCAGTAGATAAGGGTTACAAAGAAACTATTTCCAGTTTTCCTAATCAGATGTTGGCCTCAATACAAAGTCTGTAATCCAACTATACTTGCATTGTACACAAGTATAAAACAAAGTTATTTCCTCTTCAACCCTTCTATCATGCAAAACTTTGTTTGGTAAAATGTTCTTGCTGTTCATATTTAAATTGGTAAACACCAAAGTTCATGCTCAATAATCCAGATAATAATCCAACAACGTTCAGTCAGGTCATCTGGACAGTTTATTTTCTTTTTTTTTTTTGCTGAGACATTTCATCCTTCATCCAAAGGACTTCTTCAATCTGAAGAGCCACCAACAAACTGAGTCCCACAAACAACATACTTCCATAGTGGGGAAAAAAAACTTTAAATTGGTAAAGTTTTGTATGTTTTATTTGTATGTAGGGCTTTGTCATGTGGTTAATAATCTGAAAGTACACATGTATAAATCACCCAACAAATAACACATAAAAACTCCACTATGTCCCCCAGCTACCCCCCCCCCCCCACCCCCCCCCACCCCAACACACACACACACACACAAAAGAGTTTGTTAAATCTATTGTTTATGTAAATTCTGAAAATACTTGTAGTGCAGGTATTTTTATACATTTACATCGTCTTGTAGAATAGTGGGCATCTGAAAACACAAATGTTTCTACATATCCTATTTTAATTGTTTTAAATATAAATATTTAAACATGGAAAATCCTAAACTCAGATTGCATATATTTATTTTTTCCCCAACACTTCATAGGAGTCCTGAGAAAATGTTTTTTTGATTTGAATGTTTAGTTTTAAATGTTTCAGAAAAGCTTCACAACAAGTCAGTCCTGTGTTATTAAATCTGCTCTTCAAGTGAGATCATTGGACTGGTAAATGTTTGGAGTTTTCAAGGAGTGCTTTTCTGAACTGGAACTGAACAGGGGATGCAAGAAAACGTGTTTTTGGTGCGATATACTCAGATGGGTAGGAGTCTCACTATGTACAAGAGGTTTTGTTCTTGTTTGAGGTGGTGCAAAGTGATGGATGCTGGTGAGTGCAGTGAACAATTGTATCCACCCCCAGATGCAATGACGGAGCCAGGGGGTGGCCAGTGGTGGTCTTGGCCGCCATAGCTTAATCTTCGGCCACTGCACCAGCCACCCCAATCATCTGAAGAAACTATAAGTTTAAGCAACATAAAAACTACACAGCATAGTTCCCTCAAACAATAAGGGTGATGGTGATGACCATCTTGGATTTTGACATGGCAACCCAATTTCCGTGAGTAACCTTTGTCTAGATTCAGCCACACACTAAAATGGAAGTAGGTGATTTACTTATTTTTCAAATTATTAAGCTCACAACATGCAGACAGATGGATGAAGGGTATTTTCCTTCATCGCTTGTCATATCACTCACTTCCTGATTTTTATCTTCTCAGCATTTAAGTCAGTATGAGATGTTGGCTTTTATTGTGTTTTTTGTGTGTGTGTGTTTTTCTTTATTCTTTTCATCTGGGTACAGAACTCTCGCCGACAGTGTTGCTTTGTAAAGTGCTTCATAAACAAAGTTGCATTGTGTTTTTTTTACTAACAGCTTGAGATGAATGTTTTGGTTGTGTTAGTAATTATTACTAAGTATCATAATACCAATACTACACTGTGCTTAAAAGACAAAGAAAAGGAAGGTAAGAAGTGAAGACAACAATAAAAAGGTGGAAAGAATGTCAGAAGACAATAAAAACGAGTAGTTCAAAGAAGGAATAAAAAAACAAACAGTTAAATTAAAGACAAAGTGCAAAGAAACGGAGACGGACTCGCTGCGTTGTTTCAATAAAGATGTCGACGTGTCAGATGTTGTGGATACTGTGTGACATTTACCGTGTCACAAACACACAGCGACTCCGCGCTTCGGTGTTTCATGACTCGTACAGCACAAGGCCAGACGCGAGCTTGTCTCGCCTCTGGTAATCCGAAGAGCCGTCGAGCCACATCCAACACAAAAGTAAAGAGGAGGAAAGGAGGAGGGAGCGACAACCAGAGAGTGAGAGGCAGTGCTGCTCAGATAAGAAGTGAGACTATTGATCTCTCTGCGGAGGCTGAGAGCTTTTACTGAACCACAGACACTGACAGAGTGGCGCACACACACACACACACACACACACACACACACACTTCATGAGTCACGTTAAATAAATGCCACCCACATGTCCGTTAGCCAGGTCGAGCAGGTCCCGCAGTCTGCAGCCTCGCCTGTGTCTCCGCTCATAACAGATGCTGTTCTCCAGCACCACGTAGTCGGCCCCCACCGCCCTCAGGATGTCGTACACTTCCTCTGGGGACCGCTGAGCGTACACCTGATACACCTGCGGAGGAAGAAAAAACAAAGGGTTCATTTAGCTTCAGATAATGAAATTTCAAAATACACATTAAAAAACAAACAAAAAATATTGCTCTTCAAATACAAACTTAATTGTCATTTAGCTTTTAAATCACGGTTTAATGAAGGTTAGTTTCATTTTTTTATTATAACTTATTGTTTGTTATAACAAAAACAACTATGTAAACAAGGCACAAGTAGAAAATACTAAAAGAGTGAGTGAACAAATCTACAGTTTTTATTTCATTTGCAGAAACCTACAGACTGTGTAACCCTGCGGTGCTGGAAGTGCTCGGGCTTTAAATGGGTTTCAGCTGAATGCATCTGCGTGACGAGACAAACGGGTCTCCTGACATTGTGAGTGATTTTATTTTTTAAATATATCATATTTCATCAGAACTTATGGTTCGCTTTATGTTAAAGTTCTGCCTGCACTATGAAGCAGGGTTAGTGGCTTCATGAGGTACGTTCAGGTTCAGTCGTGGACTTTCAGTCTCACCAGGACCTGCTAACATACACCTGTTTAAATCTAATCAACATATAAAATACTGCCACTCAAACAATCAGTGTTCATGAAGTCAAAAAGCTTCACGAGTGAACTAGGTTTAACTACAAGTTAAAGTTGATGACTAAAATTAGAGAAAACCTGAACTAGTACTTGTTTGTCAGGTTGCTGAACCCATTCTTTCTAAAAACACAGCTCATCAAAACAGCTTAGGTTTACAAAGTTCTATCTAAATAAACCGTAAGATATTGATTAGCAAGTTTATCCATAATGCACAGCGCTGTAGGACAAACAAACATCATGAGAGCACCAGCATGTCACACCAACTGTCAAGCACGGTGGTGGGAGGCTGATGATTTGGGCTTGTTTTGCAGTCACAAGACCTGGACTCCACTTCTCCAACTGACTCTAAAGTCAAATGTGAGGCCATTTGTTTAAGAGCTAAAACTGGACCTAAACTGGGTCATGAAACATGACAATGGTCCCAAGCAGCAGTAATTTACAATAAAATGGCTGAAAAAGTAAATAATATATTTTTGATGACTCAAGGTCCAGATTTTAACCAAACAATAAAGTGTAGCAGGACATGGCACAAACAAAGGCTACCTCAATATTACCCTCGGAAAAGTGGATTGTGGGTATTTATGCAGTTTGTGGATCTCCATAAATTAAAGTAAGCCAGCAGGGATTTGACTTCAAATGTAAAAATGTAATTACAAAGCGGGAGAAGGCTGAAGGTGTAAAACACAAACATTGTTTTAATATTTTAACATTTAGCATGAGTCCACCACAAAGCAGATCTCTGTCCGCTGTGATTTTGATCATAACAGCAGAGGAAAGATTCTGGACCAACCACAGTTCTGACACCAACAGCAGCAGCCCACACACCATCTTGATTATTGGCAACAATACACCATGACATGTGCACAGGTGATGCTCCACAAACACACGAGCGCTGGTGCAGCAGAATAATCCAGCATAAAGAAACACAAACATCAATGACCTGACGTTACATTGACAAATACGTGACAACTGTGTGACGTTTGTTGATGGTTGATATAAAAACCACAGCTGATCTGTTGTCACCGCCTGAATCTGTCATAAAAATCATTTTTTTCTTGGAATCACAGGAACAGTTTGTACTCGAGCCATTATTAATACTCCCCTAATGGTCTTCATTTGGACTTTACTGTTTAACAAAAGTGACCATCTTGGGTCAGATGTCCTACAGTGGTTTTGTATAGATGCAGATGTGGGGATAATCTATGGTTCCAGTCACTCAGACAGGGCTGGTAATAAGCAGGCAGCAGTGGTTTGTTTTTCTCAATTTCCTTTCTTATGGACTGTTAAATCATGAGAAGGCTGTGGGTGTCGACCCATTATTTCCTGTGCAGAGAGTGGAACTGGAGCTTGAAGCCAAACACAGACATGGAAATAGAAATGCAGCTCATCTATAAGGAAAGAAAAACAGATTATACTAAAACACTGCCTTGTGCGCTCCTTGTTATGGCACCATTGTTCCCCTTTTCTCAATTACACAAAGGCAAACAAAGAAACGCAGCACGGCCACAGAATGCGCTTCCAGAGAGGATGCAGGCACTGCACATCTTTGAGTCGTGTCACTCCAACTCTACAGACCTGATTTAAAGCGTTGTGTGTTTCACTTGGAGTTCGTTTCAGGTTTAACTGCTGCTTTAACGACAGCCGCCTCATTTTGTTCTGAACTGTACAAACAAAAAGAAGCTAGCATCGCCGCTACTGTCAGGATGAGTGACAGAGGCTACTTTCAGGGACAGCACAGGAAATGAAAACATCAAGCATCACAGCCTGAAAAGTTCTGTTGGAAAAAGCAGACTGATGCAGAATTAAACAGCAAAAACAAACATGTCAACATCGTAAGATGCTGAAATCAGAAGGCCTGACGAGAATTGGCCAAACAAAAACAAACTGATATTCAGGAGAAAAAAATCTACAGGACTAGCTGTTCTCATCTGTTCACAGAGCAGGTGCACTGAGCATATGTGATTAACAAAGTAAAACAATAATGGGACCTTCTTTTTCCATTTTAAATCTTATTTGTGTGACGCATAAATTAAGCCTCCAAAATAGGAACTGAAAACATCTTTAAATTAAATTGTTTGACAATGGACTTGAGCAGTTTTTCCTCTCAGGCTCACACACAGTGTGCACATCAGTATCGTGGATCATTAATGAGCTCCATGCCAGGCTCTGGCCTCGCCAGCGGCTCAGCATATCTTACTCCCCTCTGAGATGCAAAACATAGACTCAGCTGCCCAGAGATGACCCGCACATCACTCCGTGCTCAATGGGAGGAAGACACACACTGAATAAAGTTAGTTAAAGTTAAAGCGAGTCGGAGTTTTATATATATATATATATACATATATATATATATATACACACACACACACACATACCGTACATATATATTATCAGAATCAGCTTTATTATTATTGTATCAGAATACAGTGAGATTATGCTCATACAGTTGTCCAAAAGATGGGCGGAGCGCACGTTGCTGCTGCAACAAGAGCACGGCCTCTTATTCTTTATCGGAATACTTTTTTTAAATAGAAAAAATGTAAAAGGCCATGAAGATGGATAGTGGTATTACAAAAAAGATCTCTTCACATCTTGTCCTATCAGGACATAATTTGAGACATCAAAAAACTCTACCAGCAAGCACATTTATAAACACAATTACATTGAGATTTGGCCATGAAGCATTTCCAGATGGGCCATAGTCCTGATGATGATGTTGTTCAACCGGCACAATTCTGACAAGCCTGCACAGAAGTTATCGGGGGGGGGGGGGGGGGGGGGGGATAGACTAAGCTTTTTTCTTAGTTTACCCATGTCCCAGGAGAAATTTGATAGTCAGCCCGCATCCGAGGCCAAACGGAGGAGTCCGATTCAGATAAGCTACAATTGTTGATTTTCTTCAGGCAGACCGTTTTTCCTTGTCAGCCTATAGTCCTGCTGGTACTTTCCA